CATTGGCATGGGGCCAGAGAGAGAGGCTTTGTGCTAATCGACACCTTAAGTGAATCTTCAGATGGCCACTGAAACCAGAATTAAGTCTACTTTCTGCTGCAGAACAGGTCCTAGGATGGATTAGGACCTGGCCTCAGAAATTGTAAGTAATCTCTTAGCATTAGTGGAGCTCCACCCAACCTATTAATAATAAAAATATCAGTGCAGACTGACCAGTAGTCTCCCTATCACCTGCCCCGTGAGTGTTTTGATTATGGGGTGATATCAGTGGTGCAAATGGGTCAGTTCAGACTGTCATACCACAGGTAATATTAACTGGTATGGTGTGCCAGAAAGACTCCCTGTCTGCCATGCCCAGCCCCTCCACTAGCTGACACAATTCTGTTTACAGGGCTGAGGGCTGGGAGGCAGGGCTGGGAGTGCTGAGGCAGCCAGAGAACCTGTCAGAATTCTACTCTTTTCCCCACTGCCCCTCCCATTGGTGACAGGAGCAGAAATGCCAGCCCTGCACCTCCCCACCCACCCCAGCCCAGTACTCAGGCACATGGCAGCTCTGTAGAAAGGGAAGGGCTGGTGTGGTGAAATTAGCAGAACTGCTCCTCCAGTTCCCCTTACCCCAGATATTATGGGATGAGGTGTGGGGAAAGAGAAGGGGGTCCCAACCTGGGCACTGGGTGGAGTCACATGCCTCCCCTTAGCTTTTGTGCCCTATAGTCCTGTACTGGTAAGAAATTTTGAATGCTGCACAGTAAATCAGCTCCCGGGGTGTCTACACTGGCAAGGCAGTAAGTGCGCACTAACTCTGCACTTGCTGCACTCTAGATAAATTACCTTGACAAGAACATAAAGCTTGCTATGCTCCAGATACAGTGCGGGGCAGGGGAGGGGACAGTGTCCACACTTGAACTGATTGCTCTATTGTATCTGGCCTTCAGAAATGGCCCATAATCCCTCAAGTCCTCTCTGTTCCTTGTTTGGAATTCCTCCTCTGTCTGTCTGCCCTGCAGGTATGCACATCTCCCCTTTCAGAGCTCCCTCTCTGACAGCCTGCATGCTGTGCTGATTTGCTCCAGGACACAGATAAAATGCTTGTGCTGTTGAACACAGAGGCAGATGTGTGTGTATTTGTGTGTGTGTGAAAGAGAGAGAGAGAGGGAGAGAGAGCACCAGGGAGGAAGATGGGGCAGGGGGGAGGGGGATGGAGGAGGAAGAGGGATGAGTTGTTGGGATTTCCCCCTTCTCCTGCCTCAGCAGGGACTGTTTCTTACTAGTATCTGAATTTAGAAGATAACATGTTGACACCCCTCGAAAGCATAGTGCCCCTCCCACTCCCCATACACATTCCCTGTCATCCTTTCTCCCCTTCCCTTGACTTCTGTTGAAAAGCAGCTGTCAATTAGCAGGATGACCATGGAGCAATGGGATTGGGACACCTGAATCATGTGATGCTGACTGCCCCATGTGGCATTGCAAACCCTTCCTAAAGCACCCTGTGGCCACAATGCACTGCTCTCTGTGGCACTGCAAAAGCTGAAAATGTGGACATGCTGCACCTTCATAAGGACCACGGTGTGGACACACAGAGGTTTCCCTGCAGTGCTTTGTAAGCCACGCTGTAACTACCAGCATGTTGCGTATGCCAGTGTAGACATGGCCTTACATAATTAATCAGCGTATGGAAATCTGGCAGGATCCTTATTTTGGGGAAACTACTCTGGGCTGGTCTTCACTATGAGCTTAGATCTACATTTTCAGCATTAGGTTCCTGAATTTGAGTGTTCCATTGCCAATGCTCTGGCAAGCACTTTGAACTCCAGTGCCCTTCAGCCAGGTGAGGAGGAAAAGCCCCTGGGAACTTTTGAATGTTCATTTTTCACTGGAGAAGCATGGAGAGCTCACCAGCACCAGCTCTGAGCCCCCACATCCAGGTTCACAAAAGCCTCCAGCACAGAGTGTTTACGGACAGTGGATTTGATTGCTGGGGGG